ATTAGCATTAGCATAATAATTTAGCATATCTAGATTAGCATAGCATCAATTAGTATTAGCATTAACATTAACAATATTAACATATTAGTATTAGTAATAGTATTAATAATAGTATTAGTATTAATATTAGTATTAGTAGTAGTATTGGTATTAGTATTACTATTAGTATTAGTATTAGTATTAGTATTAGTATTAGTATTAGTATTAGTATTAGTATGAGTATTAGTATTAGTATTAGTATTAGTATTAGTATTAGTATTAGTATTTGTATCAGTATTAGTATTAGTATTAGTACAAATATTAGTATTAACATAAGCGTAAGTATTCGTATCAATATTATGTTCGGTATCAGTATAAGTATCAGTATTAGTACCACAACATGTATCAGTACCAATATCAGTACCAGTATCAGTACATTATTAGTATCGATATCAGTATCAGTATCAGTATCAGTATCAGTATCAGTATCAGTATCAGTATCAGTATCGGTATCAATATCAGTATCAGTATCAGTATCAGTATTAGTATCAGTATTAATATCAGTATCAGTATCAGTAACAATAACAATAACAATATCAGTATCAGTCGGTATCGGTGTCAGTATCAATATATGTATACGTATCATTAACATTAAAATTAGTTTTAACATTTATATTAGTATTAGTAATAGTATTAGTATCAATATTAGTATTAATATTAATATTAGTAATAGTATTAGTATTAGTACTAATATTAGTATTAATATCAGTATATCCGTATAAGTATTAGTATCGATATCAGTACCAGTATCATAAAAAAATACAGTATCAGTATCAATATCAGTATCGGTATCAGTTTCAGTATCAAAATCAATATGAATATCAATTTCAGTATCAATATCAATATTAATATTAGTATCAGTATTATTAGTATAATATTAGTATTAGTATTTTTATCAGCATCAGTATCAGTATGAGTAACAATATTAGTATCAGTATTAGTATGAATATCAGTATTAGTAATAGTATTATAATTAATATTAATATTACCATGAGTATCAATATGACTATCAACATCAGTATCAGTATTAACATCAGTATCGGTATCAGTATCAGTGTCAGTATCAATATCAGTATCAGTATCAGTATCAATATCAGTAAGTATTAGTATTAGTATTGGTAGTATTAGTATTAGTATTAGTTAGTATTAGTATTAGTATTAGTCTTAGTATTAGTATTAGTATTAGTATTAGCATTAGTATTAGTATTAGTATTAGTATTAGTATTAGTATTAGTATTAGTATTAGTATTAGTATTAGTATTGATAGTACTATTATTATTACTACCAATATTAATATTATTATTAGTATTGTTATTAGTATTAGTATTAGTATTAGTATTAGTATTAGTATTAGTATTAGTATTAGTATTAGTATTAGTATTAGTATTAGTATTAGTATTAGTATTAGTATTAGTATTAGTATTAGTATTAGTATTAGTATTAGTATTAGTATTAGTATTAGTATTAGTATCAGGATTAGTATCAATATGGATATCAGTATTGGTATTATTATTGGTATTGGCGTATACATCTTATCTCTTTTGCAATATTTATAAGTTGTGTTGTTGTTAGAGTAATGTGCATCACTAATTGAATGTTGTTAGTGATAAACTTGCAGGTTATTTGAGTATCTATTGTGCTACCTCTACGCTACTGTGTTTGTTGTTAAGTTAGTTATTTTGCAGAGGATTCACATAGTGTAGTAGATTGCATTCCATGAAATAGAGTTATACCATATGTTTTAAATTATTTCACTTAATCTTCATATCGTGATTTGCGCCATTCGCGTATTTTTCTTTGTAATATTTAATTGAATTTTATATGTTACAACTCTGAATTAAGAGATATTTTTTTTATTTCCTTCCATTTTGTTTTACTTCAATTGGTGTTGTTATAAAAAGATAATCGTTTAAATATTATTATTTTTCTCATTTTGAAACTCATATCCGTGCAACGCACGGGTGAAGTACTAGTGTTATATACCAGTCATTAATGATTATAAAAGTTGCTTTTAAATAGTGTGATTATTTCCTATATGGTACAATAATAATAAGAAAAAAAACAATTTGCGAGCCCATCATTTTGGGCTGGATCCAAGTCCACCTTTACATTTAGAGAAAAGAGTGTCTATATGCACTTACTACAGTCCACCGGTCTACAATTGAGATTTTGGGCCGCGTTTAGTTCAACTTATTTAAAAACATTTTTAGTTCAACTTATTTAAAACATCTCATTCAAACATTTTTACAATTATAAACGATCATTTACCATTCGATTATTTTTACCATTCTATACTTGTATTTTTAGAAATACAGTATAACCACGTTAAAATAGTGGTCCCGACTCAAGAACAATGTGTTAAATAAATTTCGATAAGTTAATATTTTGTTAGATTAATAGATATTTCATGGTCCCAATTGTATTAAATTATAGAGATTTAACTATCATTAAGGCCAAAGTTTGTTGGGACATTATAATATTGTAGGTAAATTACGACCACCCTAAGGTATGGTTCAATTACAAAAAAAACTCCTCATGTTTGGCTAATTATGTGGAATCTTCTAAATTATATGGAATATTCTCCAGTTTGTACCCATTTTTTCCCCATCGAGCCCCGAGCTCCACACGTTTTGAAACAAGATGATCATACGATGTGTCTCTTGCTTGTAAATATCAGATTGTGGTGCATTACAATTTTCACACAAAACAGAGTACAAAGTAGAGACCATTCCACGAAATGTAAAAGATTATGTTGAATTTGACACCATAAGGGTGACAGTATAAGAAGTTTCATAGTTAATGGATGGTTGCAATTACTCAAACAGTAAAGTTTTTTTTTTTCGTAATTTGACCATACCTGCCCTAATATCAAATAAGAAAGTTCAAAATCAACAAGAAATAAATTTAAACTCCTTTTTCCGGGTTAAAAAATAGACTAAAATTAAAAAAAAAAAAAAAAAAATAAAACAAAAGAACAAAGAAAGAAAAACACCTAAAGGATTCGAAGTTAGCGATCTCACATCTCTTGGTTTTCAGAGGACGTGTTTCTCATCAATCCAGTCATCTCATGGCACAAGCGAGACACGTGTAGGGCATCTCTGAACGCACGTGCGAGTTTTTCTCTGACATCGGGTGCAGAAGCAGTCAACGCTCGTTCGAACTCAAACATCAACGCTCTCAAGTCGCGTGCACCACTGAGCAGAGCGTCCATCTTTGAATCTGTATCCGGCGCGTGCGCATCAGCCTCCAATTGGTTCATCAGATCAACGGTGGTACGCATGAAACGATTAATTTGGTGAGCTAACTCAGCAACTTCCGAGTTTTCCATTGCGTGTTAATTTTAATCCTTTTGTTTTTCGAGAGTTTTTGTGACCTATTTCTGATATATATATAGACAGAGATTTACTACGGAGAGGGACTAGGATTAGGGTTAGGTTTATAATATATGTTCCGTTTATTCCGGAGGTAAATACCGATTCTCTCTCTTCCCCTTCACACGCGCCCCTATTTTCCCATATCCCACGCGCACCTATCCCAATACCCCCCATTGTTTTTCTTTTTCTTTTTTGTTTTCTACTTTTGTTTGATTCAATGGGAAAAAAAGGGTTTTACTTATTTAAGAGTTTTTCAATAAATAATATTTACAACCAAGAATTGTTTTTGTAAAAATATAAATTAAAAATTAATATTTTCCCGAAATATTAATGTATATTAATATCAAAATACTCATTGATTTTGTGGATACAACTTGAATATATAAACATATTTAATAATAATTATAATATGTCATCTAAATATATGATCTATATATAAAAAAAAATTATGACTTTATGTTAATATTTACATAGCCAATTCGATTATATAGGTTTTTCTAGTGTTTACAATTTGTAGTTTATTACAAATAACTATAAGAACAAAATATTTCATCCTAATAAATAAAAGGTTCCGTTAAAGTTAATAAAATTGTACACCAAAGGACTATATTGAGATGGGTTAAAGAGTTGAAGGATGAATATGAGAGGACGACTTATAAAGTGAGAACTAATTAAATACTAAGATAAGGGATTATTAGTGAGATCTGGTCATTATTTTTAAGGAATCACTATTCGCGACCGTTCCAAATCGATGAAATTTCCCAGGTCAAACTTCGCGCTCACATGGCGCAACGGGCTTCTATTTGAGAACTGCAGCTAGCATGCGTGCATGCCCTCAATTCTTTCTTCAATATAATGGACTATATATTTGATTTTAGCAGCAAAGTAAATGCTTACAAAGATCGGTCAATAAAAGTTTAAGAAAATAACCGGTTCCGGTTGTATATATGCTAAAGTTGGTCGGCGTTTGAGTTAGCTACGAAACTGACTAACTAAAACAGCAAGATCCATACACTCTGTCAAAGTTGGCAATGCTCTATCATACGTACAGTTGTTAGAAAAACCAACCTTCCCAGATTTCTTTACATTCTCAATGCACTTTTTGCACTCCTTGTGGCATTTTATGCTGCTCATACCTGAAACATTCATTTTAATACTCAATACTAATAAGTAATAACTCATTAATATTCATTACAGCAACATATAAAATTATCAAAAAATAAAAATAAATTGTTTTTTCTACATTTTTTTTATTTTTAAATTTTAAAATAGATATAATCTTTAATAAGATTTTTTTTTTATTATAAGAGATCTCTAGTACAATTTTAAAGTTTATTAAATCCAAAAACGTATACACTAGTAATTATACATTTGTATATTAATTATCATAATAATGAAAGTAATTTACTAAAGTACAAAATTAAAAATTACAAGTGTTTTTTTGCCAAGTAGTGAACTTTTGAACGTCTATATTTATTTAAAAATATATATAATAATTGTTCAAAAGCTACAAGGAGCCATTTTTATTTTTAATAAATATATAATAAAAATGAACCATTAATAAAAATATAATACCATTTTGTTCAACGCATTGATCATGGATTTGGCAACAAGCATCAAGTTCATCGCAGGGTTTCTCTCCTCTACATCCGGTCCACCCTACTCCGCAGTACTTCCCGTACCTTATCTCAATCGCTATATATATATATATATATATATATATATATATATATATATATATATATATATATTTCACCCAAAAAATTCCAATTTTAGAAATAAAAAAAAATAATAAGAAGAAGAAAAATCATATTGAGAGGACACTATTAATTGATAGATGTGGAAGGATTTCGCCGGAGATCAGAACACTCACTGTCGCAGTTCTCCGCCGCGCAGGTTCCGCTGCACCCGACCTGCCGGCGATAGTAAGCAACCAGCTTGACCATCGGCAGAGCGTATTTCATTAATTTCGCTGAGAGAGCGAAGAGTCGTAGGGGGAACGCCGCCGGAGAGTCATGGGAGGATTTTGCTAAATTGACGGCGACGGCGATGATAATGATGGAGAGTGCGGCGGAGACGCCGGCTCTGAGTGGACGGACGGCGTTTCGCGGCGGCATTCGCACTCTGTAAGACGGAAACTGCTTTTCCGAATTTTTCTGAACTACTTTTTCAGTTTTTCCTCTATTTATATTTCTCTCTTTTATTATCTTCTACGCTATTGGCTAGTGTTGAATTGCTGTTACGCTAAAATTACTAAAATAGCCCTACGAGAATTCTGATTTATCTCGGTTAGGCAGCTGTTCCCGCCCTTTTTATGGCTAAATTCTGGTTGGCTATTACTAGGGTTGCACTTTGGGCAAATTTTCTAATTTTGACTTTTCGAAATAAATCATTTTTTTTTTTATTTTTTTTTTATTTTCCTATTGGATTTTAAATTGCAATCAAATCATTTCTTTAAGAAAGAAAAATACATGTTATTATTAATATAATTATGAGTTTTTGTTAACATATATGTGAATAAAGAAAATATGAGAATTTTCAAAATTTAATTCCCCACCTCAGGGTGAAATAAACCCACTACTTAGTCTAAATATTGATGGTATTACCAGCTCTATAATTTATTTCTGTTGTAGCATACTGAATATTAGTTGGTTTTATGAACTAGCGCCCGCATGGGTGTAGCTCAACTGGTTCCGGAGGTGGTAAGTTGGTGCAAGGTCCTAGGATCGAATCCTGGCAGCCGCAGTGTGGGAATTTCAACTCCAAATGAGGGTTGTTTCCTTGTGGGCACCAGGTCCGGGTCCGCTACCTTAAGCCGTTGAGTTACCATGATTTACATCCTCCATCAATCCTTGTCGGGCCAAGGGATGGGGGCCCCTAGGGCGAGGGATTCGCCTTTTGGTGCATGGTTTTATGAACTAGCTATTAGTATTTAATTTTCTTAAATTTTCTATAAAAAAATTGAACTCTTTGTAGAGGAATTGAGTACTTGTTGTTACATTTAAAAAAAAAAAGAATTTACACTATTTTTTGGATATTAACAATCGGGGGTACAATTACAGGTTAATTAAATACCTCATGTAGCCAAACTTCACCGAAAAAACAACATAAGATGGTGGTTCAAATGCTCGTTTCGTAAAAACTCAAATCCTATTATAAACGGACAGTGAAATGAGAACATTTCGAAGTTTTTCTTTTTCCATTCAAAAACTTCAAAATCATTCTCGTGCCACTATCAGTTCATAAGAGGATTTGAAATTTAGAAAGGAAAAATAATGTAACTATTTACTTATTTTCTTTTAAGTTATTCGATTAAAGGCGGAACATGAGGATGAGATATACCAAAGAAGAAGAGGTTCATGATAAATTAAAAAATATATATATATTTCTTATAGGAATTTAACAAACTCATTTATTTCACCATGTGGATTAATTTAATGGGGCCATGTTCAATATTACTAGGATTTATTTTGGGTACTAATTTTATCTTAATGGTCAATGAAGTTGGAGAGCATTTTCTTTTATCGTATTTACTATTTAAAAGTCTTTCAATAAATGTGGTAGATTTCGTTTTTAAACGATTTAAACTTTATCTACCATTCAAACATGAAAAGTTTAGTAATTTCGTCCCGTGCAGTTAATTTAGCATATTAATTGGACTTTTGCTATCTGAAAATATAAATTATTTAAAAATAAGGGTAAATTCTTTTTTCTCCTTTTTGTATTTTGGCTTGATATCACTTTATCTCCTTCTACTCTCGATTGCATCGATTTACCCTTCTTACTTGATTTTTTTTTTCAATGTGACCCTCGCCGTTAGTTTTCAGACGTTTGACATTAACACTGTTGATCTAAGTCTGATAATTACAAAAAAACCATGCCTCTCAGTTTAAAAAAATATTAAAAAAAATAAAAAAAATAAAAAATAAATTGTGGCTAGTGTCGTGGACTAAGTTTTCTCGTTGTCTTGAATTTTTTATTATTTTATTTTTTGTTTTTTGATTTAGTTTTTGCTTTTTTAATAATTATTTAAACTGGGAGATGTGGCATTTTTATAAGTTCAGAACTTAGATCAAACGGTGTTAAGGTCAAATGTCTCACAACTAACAGCGAGGGCCGCATTGATATAATTTTTCAAGTGCATCAAGCAAATCGATGCAATCAAGAGTGTAAGGGGGCAAAGTGATACCGAACCAAAATACAAGGGGAGAAGTAGAATTTAGCCTAAAAATAATATTAAGTATTTAGGAATAAAAACTTTTAGTTTTTGATTAAATCAAGTAGATTTTACAGAATAAACATAAATGCCAAGAAGCCCAAATTAGGCTAAGCCCAAATCAAAATGTATTAGTTTCTACTTTCTACAGCCTAGCCCAAATAAAATCAAGCAAATAGATTCATATAACAAATATTTTTGGAATTTCAGTTGACTGTTTGAATTTTAAGCAATTCATTTACTTTATAGGATTTAAACTTAGTGATAACTTAATTTTATTAACCGCCTCATTTAGTATTTTTTATGGTATAATTTAAATTTATTAAGCATTTTAGAAGCTGAATTGTTAAATGTCATTTTAATTTTATTAATATTGTTTTAACTTTGAAATTGATTTTGACTATTTTCTACTTTGAATTTGGCAAAATTTAAAAGACGGAAACTGTAGGCCTTTGAGATAGCTTTCCAATCTAACATGAATCAACTGGATTGGATGTCGAGTGACAAAGTTATGTATGAATGAGTTACATTTTAAATTTTACATAATTTAAAACATCAAAGTTGTGGGCAGTATTCATTGACTCATGCATAACTTTCTCAACCGACATCCAATCCTGGCGATTCAAATTAGATTAACTAACTCAAAGAACTACAAATTACATGTCTGAATTTTACCAAATTCAAAATTGAAAATGGTTAAAATCAAGTTTAAAGTCAAAACAACATTATGAAAACTGAAACTATATTTATCACATCTTTCCAGAATTCTAGTTAA